TTATTAATGTGACCTAACCTTAAATGCCACAAATAAGAACTATTACTAGTAGAAACATGCAAATAATCAGAAATGCATACTTTATTATCAATAGGAAAAGAGTACATGTCATTCACTCTTACACCTTTCACTAATACACTTCCTTTCTTAATCAATACTGTGTTAAACCTAAAAGTAATCTCAAAATCTTTTTGAGTTAACACCGGAACTAAAATTAAATTTCGCTGAATGTTAGGTACATAAAGCACATCATGAAGCACAATAGAAGTTCCATTAATTGAGAATTGACAGTTGCCGATGTCCAAAACATCACTATAGGAGTTGTTGCCCATGTAGATTCTGTGTTCACCAACCTTCTTTCAATAAACTCCACGAACATGTCTTTCTTTTGTACAATATGCCTAGTTGCAGCAGAATCAATCCACCATGAATTTGATGAAGGTTCAAGCGCCATTGCTTCAGAAACTGTCATGGCAACAGGGTTATACTCCTTTTCTTGCTTCTTCTAAGGACAATTGGCTTTGATATGAACTTTTTGACCGCACATCTAACATGGACCAATTTGATGCTTGTGATGTTGTTGTTTTTGCCATTCTTGTGGTTTCTTCCATCCTTTCTGAAATCCCTTCTTCCATTTTTTCTTGAAAAAAGTCGTCTTTTTCTTGTTGAATGGAGTGTGGGTATTATTCTGTGGTTGAGGTGAAGATTGTGCCATCAATAAGTTAGAAGACAATCCTTCTTTACGTCTGCGCTTCATTCTTTCTTCTTCCAAAACTGAGAGTACAGGCAATGTTACCATTGAAATCTCTCGTCCGATATGAGTTAGAGATGTGATAATATGATCCCAAGACAATGGAAAACTATTAAGTATGGTTGTTACTTGCATCTTGTCCGACAAAGAGTGATCAGTGTTAGATAATTCTTTAGCAATTAATTCCATTTGATTAACATGATCACCAACACTATCATTATCACTCATACGAGTGTTATTATATTTGTCCAAGAGCAATTGAATTTGGGTATCCGATCGAACTCCATACTTACTTTCTAGTACTTCCATTAGTTATCTGGCAGTTTCATGTTCTTCAAAGAGCGGAATAATGTTATCTTTCATATTATGTAACATAGTTGCCTTTGCCATTGCATCATCTTCTATCCATTTATTTTGGAACCAATTAGAATCATCATCTGGTTTAGAAGTGAATAAAGTATGCAATGTTTTCTCATGTGGAAGAAGATAAGAAATGTGGCGTTTCCATGCTCGGAAATTATTTCCATTAAGCATCTTGATTCTCGAAGAATCCATTGTATTTTTAATAGCCATGTTAAAAACAAAATGTGTTACTATGAAAATTCAAATGTGAATATTACAATACTAAACTAAAAATAAAAATAAGCAAAATTAAAAACAACACCAATAAGGAAAAGCCTTGTAGTTGTTGAATCAGCCCCTGTGATGAAAATGATGTGAAGGAATAAAACGGTACTGTTGCCTTGGGTAAGAAGAATGATGAAAACCCAAAGGCCTTGTAAACCCAATACTTTGCTTATGAGTATTGTAATAATAGTTACGAGCCTAAAGAACACAATGGTGCCTTTTAAACAATATTTCTTTGGATGTTTTCCTTGGTAACACCCTTGGATAGCCTCCTCCTCGAATTTTGTTTTCAGAAAATTTAATACAACGATCCACGAAAAAATTCTTAGAAGAATTCTAAAAATTTTAGCTTTTGAATGATTGAAAACGACATTGAAATGAGCAAGAACGAGCCAAAAAATCGATTGGACCAAGCTGCTGCCGGTCTAAGTACTGTGTTGGACCAGTTTGGACCGACTGAGACCGAACTGGTGTGAACTGCTGGTCAACGCACAGGTCAACGCGCAGATCAGTGCGCGGGTCAGAACGCGGGTCGGGCGGAGCAGACGGACTCGAGTCCGGGCGCGGAGGGTCAACGCGCAGATCTGGGCACGAGTCGCTGGGTCGCGGCTTTGGGCTGTTGGGCTGCGTCGCTGGGCTGGGTGATCCTTGAGGCCTTGGGTTACTGGGCTCCTTCTGACAGACTTGGGCCGATTCCTGGATTGGCCCAAAAAATGTCTTTTTAATTTTGCAGCCCAAAAGAATGGATTTCCTTGCAGTGATTCTTATTTTTGAGCCTTTTCTTTTAATTTTTGAATTCAGCCCAAGGGAATTTAAATCCAACTCAGACGCTACAACGGCTCCAAAGGTATTATTCCGATCGTCTTCTTCGGCAACTGGAGTCGGAGACCACAGACTAAAATTCGAATCTTGAGGATCAAATCTTCGTTGTTTTTCACAACGAATTTCACCGTTGTGATCAAAATTCTGAGAAGAACAAGATGGTGCCAATTTGGAGACGCAATTCGAACCGAAAAATATTTTATAAAGTTGTTTCCAACGATACAATTCGGACTCACTTGTGGCAAGGTTTGAAACAAGGGCACCACCAACAGTTATTTTCTTCGGATAGTTTTCTGGAAATACAATACGTTGGTGATGATTAAATAAACAAATGGAATTAACGAAAGCCGAAGATTGATGATCGATTATACTCTGAATTTTCGGTAAAAACTTTTCAGAAAATTTTCGTTCTTCCCGACTGTAATTCGACATCTACGATTATGTGTACAAACTTGCTCTGATACCACTGTAAGATTATCTTAACAATGGCAATTGATCTAAATACCCGTGAGGGTGTTTATCACGCGAGAATATCGATTATCCGAAAGTTAGAAAATGGAAAACTTCTAGTTCATATCTATATATAATTCCAAACCTGCTGTCACTTATTTATATACAAATAAGTGACCTTTGGCAATAAGTATAATATTTGAATTTGTTTCATACAACAGCAGTCACTATAGTTCACAAAGTTGTGTCAATTGATGTTTGAATTCAAACCATTAACTAACCAACAGATAGCTTCAACATTCTTGCGGGAAGGCTCTACACAATTCAAGATAGAGAAGATTGAGTGAAGTGAGTCACACCAAATTATGGTGTGGTCACTCTTTATTCCATCAGTTTTTTTAATTTTTTAACACATCACTCCCCTACTTTTTTATATAATTTTTTTTTTTAAAAAGTTAAAAAATTTAAAAATTCAATTTTTTATAATCTTTTCAAAATGCCACTTTATATTTCTAAAGTGTGATTACATTATTTATTTAGTTCCTAAATTGTCGATTGTATCTATTCGATCCTTAAAATATATAAGTCAAAATCTAATTCTTAAATTAACGATTGAATTCATTAAATCACTAAAATATTTAATTCAAATTTATTTAATTTTTTTTACACATATTTTTTGTAATTTTTTTAATTTAAAAGTTGATATATTAAAGTTTTGAAAATTAAAATAAATGTCAAATTATTATGTTTCTTTATAAATAATCATAAATGATGAACAATTCTGACTATTAAAAATTTAATAGAATGTGAAGGTACAAAAAATTTTAATTAGGACTTAATAGAGTAAAATTTATAAATTAAGACTTGTGTATAAATGTTCTTTTTTTAAACTTACTTTTTTCATCTCTAGTGAACGTTTATTAGAGTTTTTATTTTTTTAGATTCTTCTACATTAGACAGACTTGGGGAAAAAAAATTTAAAAGAAAAAATATCAATTAAAACCAAAAAAAGAATATTAAAAAAAAAGTTACTTTTTTAATTGGATGCCCAAAATTTTTTTAAATCAATTCATTTTTTCACAAACAAAAAAATCAACATTTTTAATATATTATTAAATGTATTAACTTTTTAAAATCAATAATGATAGAGAGTTTTAATTTTAAAACTCTAAAGAGAGTTCTAGTAATGTAGTAAAAAGAAAAAAAAAAAAACCGTAAGCATACATATCACATCACATGTGAATCTCATTCCTTATCACATCACTACAACTCTCTTTAAAATTTCAAAATTAGAATCGTCAATCTTTATTCATCAATCTATTACTACAAATTTATCTGTTTGGAAAACCAACTCAGTGGCACATTAGGTGGCAAGAGCTGCCTTGCATGGTTCTTTAGAATTGAATTGGGCTTGGAGTTCCCTAGTCCCTTCGGCTGCTCTTTCGGCTTTAATGGCCCTGTTGATCACTTGTAAGCCTTGGCATATTTTATCGTTTAAAAAAAAAAAAAAAAAATCTATTACTACAAATTTATCTTATAGAAATGATTCTTGTATTGAATCTCATATCGAAGCCCATTAATATCATCGGGTTACATATAAATTCACTTGTTCACTTAATTATGATCAATAACAATTACCAACCCACTATTTTTTTGATATATTATTGAATTTATAAAGTATGCCTAAAAGTTAAATTTATATATTATATCCCTTCTAAAAGTTAAATTTATATATTATATCCCTAACAGTAATCAAAACAGTCGGTTTCTACTTGAATAGTCAATCACTTTCTACTTCAATTTCTTTTATCTCATTATATGATGATTGGGTTATATAAAAACTCGCTTGATTAAGACCAATAAGAATTATCGACTTGAATGGTCATAATCACTATCTACTCCAAGTTCTTTTATTTTATTGAGAAAAGATTAGGATCGAGAAAAAATTTTCATCACACTGATCATAAAAAATTTATAATTCTTGAATTATCTTAATTAGTGTGTGGTGTTTTATTTTAAGTGCAATTCAATGGTCACAAATCTTTCATGATCATTTTCATAAATTATTTTCATAATACCTAATATTGTTCTACCTTATTATATTATATGATAACCTAGTCTTTTGTCAACTTTTCAAATTTAACAAGGTGTCATTCTGTCAAAACATAAAATTCAAATTTTATATATTTTTTAATAATTAGTTAATTATCTACATAATATTAAATTTTAAAAATAGGTCTATAAATTAAATTTCTATTCATTTCCTAAAAGAAAGTGCTATAGACAAAAATAATCAAAATTGGAGATGGGAATGCATCAAAAAAAATTGGTACTCAAAAACAAAAAAAACTAAATCAAACCAAGCCAAATTTCACATGACTTATTTCAACAATATAGTAGCAGCAGATACAGAAACAGAAAATTAAAACTGTACAACCGATACTAATAGATGCGAACACATGATGATGGATGATGGGCAAACCTCTGGCTTGGTTGATGATTCAATGGTTTTTTTTTTTTTTTTTTTTGTAACCAGAACACTTTCAAGGCAGGACCTTTAAGATCCACCCTTACAAGTTAAACTGGGAGAAACTAGCCGATCCACCTAAACTGTCGGACTTTCACTTGAATAGTAAAAAATTTGAACCCTGATCAGCAAGGAGAGGAACATACTCCCTTACTACCTAGGATCGCCCTTGGTGGTAGATGATTCAATGTTGAACCCTCAATCATCAGCTCTGTGATCTCTAATTTGCTTCAGCTCCGCAATCAACACCGTTAAATTTGTATGAGAGGACCCACCTTCTTGAACAGCCTTATGGGCCATTTCTCCCAGAGCTTTGGCCTTCTCTCTCATCATCTCCGCCGCCGCATCGCCGCAGTCCATCACCCTCCTCACGGCGGACACTATATTCTCTCTCTTCACCACAACCTTTGCAGCATCAATCCACAAGTTCCAATCCTTCTTCCCCACTTCCACCCCAATACCCAACACTTGAGTCACCAACCTCTCATTGTAAAAATGCTCAGCATACAGAGGCCATGTGATCAATGGTAATCCTGCACTTATACCTTCAATCACTGAGTTCCAACCACAGTGAGTCAAAAATCCACCAACTGATGGGTGGTCCAAGATCAACACCTGTGGTGCCCAACCTTTGATGATCATGCCTTTATCTTTGGTCCTCTCTTCAAACCTTGTCGGTAACCACTTGTTTTTCTCTTCCTCTTCTTCATTTTCCTCCTTCCCAAACACTACCCAGATGAACTGATGCCCCGAAGCTTCGATTCCGCAAGCGATTTCCATGAGCTGGTTATCGGGGAAAATGCACGAGCTCCCAAAGCAGATATAGAGGACTGAGCTGGATTTCTTCGAGTCGAGAAAACTCAGGCACTCCTGCTCTCCGATCACCGTTTTATGGCCTCGATCGACCTGTTCGGCGGCGTTTCGATGAATCAGAGCCGCCGGACCAACGTGATAGACCTTGTGACCCATGATTTTCTTGTAGTGTTCGCAGTAATCAGACTCCAATTCGTAGAAATTGTTAACCAAAACTCCATAGCTTTTCAACTCAGCTTCTCTGAACTGTTCCATCAACTGGGTGTACCCGTTTGGGGTCCGAACGTAGTCAGGAAGCGCAGATCTGATCATGGTGATCGGATTGGGCAGACCCGGAATCAAGAAGGGTTCGTCGTCGGACTGAACATAGAGGTGAGGAGAGTCAGGTTTTCTCATGGAGTCCTTGAGGGTCATAGCGAAGATGCAGGTGGCATGGAAGACGATTCTAGGGATTCGGAGTTTGATAGCAAGGTCGGCGGTCCAAGGGTGGAACATGTCGGAGAAGATGCAATCGGGGGGGCTGTTGGAGATGAATTCCTCCATTTTGCCTTTGAGGAGGTGCATGCCGTTATGGAGTTTGGTGGCTTCGGCGATGTCTTTGGTGAAGAAGTGGTTTTCGTGGCCTTCGGGGAGGCCGACTTCTTTCGAAGGGAAGGGGAAGGTGTGGGTGGAGATGGGGCGGCCGGCGGCGACGTCTTGGTCGATGGTTTTTTGGAAAATGGCGGCGTTGGAAGGGGTGGTGACGATGGTGACACGGTGGCCGCGAGCGGAGAAGAGGCGGGACATTTCGAAGAGTGGGATCAAATGTCCAGGTGATAACATGGGAATGAAGTAGAGTAAGAGTGGGCGTGGTGGTGACTCCATTGATAGTCCAGTACCAAATGTACAGAAAGAGAGAGAGAGAGAGAGAGAGAGAGAGATGGGTTTTGGTTTGCTGCAAAATCAAAGTGTGCAATGCATGAATTTATAAGAACAAGAACCGCAAACACGTTTGGTAGAACAAGTGTTTCAAGTCTCCTTTCGTTGCAACTTTCAATCTCCATTAAAAGTAAAAAAAAATTCATTATGAGGTCTAGGAATAGGCCTTTTTTTTCTTTTTTTTATGTAATTTTTTAATTAAATTATGATTTTAAAAAAATTTATATGTTTAGAAAGAATTTTTTTAACTTTTTACTAAAAAAAAAAATTATAATAAAATAATGTAACACAAAATAAAAAAGTGTTAATTGACATTTTTTTCCTTCAATATTGCGCCGTCACCCTGTGATGCAGCGGAAATTATTGTCGCATGTCAGCCATACAGGCTTAGGGGATATGGGGAAATTGAACACATATACCTCGACCCATTTTTTTGTGTAAAAATATATAAATATATATATTTTTTTAAAATCTACAAATTGGACTTCAATAATTGTAATTCCGAAAAAAGAGTCATACAAAAAAATATTATTCTTCGTTTTGGATGTGGATTATTTTTTTGATTATTTTAAGTTAAGATTAAAAAGTCAAGTTTTGAATAAATTTTTTAATTTTTTTAATTTTTATGAGAGAAAAAATGAATTGATTATGATTTGAGTGTGATATATTATCTTATTAGGTTAAAAAACTTATTTTATTTTTTTGTAGTTATTTTAGCCAAAAAGTCCCGTTTAGCCTATGTCAAACGAGAGCTCAATATGTTGGTTTCAATTTTCTAATAATTTTATTTTTTGTTTTTCATTCTTTTTGTTTTTAGTGAATATTTTTAAAATTTTAAGTAATTTTTTAGATGCACCTTACTTAAATATATCTAAATAAAAAAATATTTGTGAAAAAATATTTTTTAAAATTAATAAATACACAAAAATATGAAAAATATACTGAATTTTTATATTATTTTGTATTTTTTGGTATTTAGTGTATTTTTTAAAGATTTATTTCACAAATATTATACCTTTTTTAAGTATTTATATTAGGTGTGTCTAAAAATTAAAAAAAAAATTATTTAAAATATTTAAAAAAATACATTGAAAACATTAAAATATGAAAGATAAAAAATAAAATTTTTTGAAAAATATTTTCTAAAAAGCAGAACCAAACAAGCTTATTGCAATTTGATTGACAAAAATATTTTGTTATAAATTGTGGAATGTAATAATTGTATTAAATTTTTTTCCAAAAAGTCTTTTCAAAATTCATTATGAAACAACTTTCACAACTTCGTTGATAATTGTACACATGTCCAAACTGTTTTCACATCTTCATTAAAAACTCATGAAGACATAAATAACAAAGCAAATGCAAAATGCTATATAAAAAGAAATGATTAATTATCAAAAAGTTCTATCTACATAATTGGTGGTAGTTTAGGTCCGGTCAAAAAGTTTTTAAACCATTAAGTCTCATTTATAGGTAAAAAGACGTTTTGCCCTTTAATCCCAAAACTGAAAATGTTCTCAATTTTAAAACTGAGAATGTTCTCAATTTATAATTATCAAAACTAAGAAATTTCTCAATTTTTTCTAGTATGAACTAAGAATATTATCAAAATTAAGAAATTTATAATTATTAATTTTGAGAAATTAATATTATAAACTGAGAATGTTTTCAATTTCAAATTAGAATTCAGAAGAACAATGTAGTCTTTCTTCATCTGACTTTCCGAAGATGAAGCTCCCTTGCGATCCACCGTAGAATCGTCCACTTTTCCCTCTTTTGTAGCCCAAGAAAAACCGACCTTCTGACCAAAGGATTCGGCAAATCATTCTTGGCGATGAAAAAGAGATCAGGGGATGTGCAGGAGAGAGCTTTGGAGCTTTTGGAGACATTAAAGAAGGTGAAAGGTCAAGCTAGAGTTCAAGCTCTCAAGGAGCTCAGGCAAATCGTCTTTGCTCACGATTCGGTCAAGAAAACACTGGCAGAGAACAATGGGTTTTGTCTGATTTCTTCATTGTTGGGTCGTTTCACAACTCATGCTGTTGGGTCGGAGGCTATTGGGATTCTTGTGAATTACGATCTAGATTCGGAATCGATAACCAATTTGATGCAACCTGCGAAGGTATCGTTAATGGTGGACATGTTAAATGAACGGTCGACTGAGACAAAGATCAATTGCACGAAATTAATCACCCATGTTCGTCGAACTAAAGTTGTGTAGAACTTCAAACTGCAACTGTGAAGAGAGAGAGATAGGGGTGGGCAACGGTTTATCCGAACCGCTCAAACCGCCCAATCCGTCCAACCCGCATATAAGTGGGCGGTTTCGCAAACATAATGCGGGCGGATGCGGTTTGAAATATGACAAATTTGCGGGTTGCGGGCGGGTCGCGGTTTAAACCCGCAAACCGCAAAAACCGCCAGCACTTTAATTATTATTATTATTTTTTTTTATATACCAACTTTGTAACTTTTACAGGAGCACCATTATATTCTCTATGACACTAGGATCCTTATTTTTAAGTATTTCTTAACTTTCTTAATGCCGTAGAATTATCAAGTCCTAAACTTAGTTTCTTATATGATTTTCATTGGTGATTCATCCACTTTTTCCTAATAAAATTTTTCTTCTAATGGTCGATAGAACTTATAGTTTGATTATTGATTACTGAACTGGCAATTCCAATTGAGTACAACCTTTAATGCATTGATATACATTTTTTTCATAGCAAAAATGCTAGTGTAGGGTTTCTTTGTTTTGGGTACTTTCATTTAATGCATTGATATTCAATTTTTATTTGTAAACTCATCAAAAAATTGTTATCACAAATATATAAAAAGAATCTGATGCCTAAATTCGCTGGAAAAAAAAAAACTCGAAAATTAATTTTTAAAGAAAAAAGTGTAAACCGCAAACCGCCCGCACATTTGCAAACCCTATCCGCACAAACCGCAAACCGCACTGCGGGCGGTTGCGGGTTAACTTTTTTCCAAACCGCATAGATGCGGGCGGGTCAAAACCGAACCGCAAACCGCACAAAACCGATCCGCGAACACCCCTAGAGAGAGAGAATGAAGACAGTAATGATGTTTGGTAGCTATGAGGAGGTCTTGGAAAGATAAATTGGGCTATTAAAAATTAATGGGACTTGAAGGAGCGAATAATTTTATTTAGGACTTAATGGAGTATAAGTTCACAAAATGAGACTTGTATGTAAATGTCCCAAAAAGAAATCAAATATTGGACTTCACCAATTTGGTATTCTGGCAAAAGTTCCCATAAAAAAAAAAAAGTAATTTATGAAAATGTTATGTTGTAATTTGTGAAATATAATCAGTTTGTTTGGTTTTGTTTTTTAAGATTCACTTATCAAAAAATTAGAATTAAAAGTATTTCGTACTTTTGCTTTGCACATCATTATTTTAATATTGTAAGCAATTTATTTAAGTACTATATACACCTAACATAAAAATACTAGGAAAAAAAATGTTTGAAGAGAATCGTGAGAAAATAAAACACTCTCTCCGTCTCAAAATAATAGTCGCTTTTGAGGAATCTAATTTTTTTTAATAGTATAATTATTGCACTTTAAAAAAAATAAATTTTCAAAATTATCCGTTGGCAGTATATTTTTTTGGAGAATATCAATTGTTATAATTGTACTTTTTGTATTATTAATGAATTTTAAAAAAAGAAAAAATTCATATTATTTTAGTTCTTGATTTTTGAAAATAGACTAATATTTTGATATAATGAAAAATAAAATAAAAAATTAATATTTAGGGATGAAAAGAGTACAAATTTTGTAGAAACATGTACAACAAGTCTTTTCAGAAAAATACATAAAAATTGTTAATTGTTAAAAAAAAAAAAAAAAAAACCAATTGTTGGCTTTTTGTACTTGAACACACTAACTAATTTTGTACCTTTTTTTTTTTTTTGGTACAATGGAAACTAAATTTGTACTTGAACACAAGTTTTGACATAAAAACCAAAAAACAAAATGGAGGTGTAAAAACGTCATTTAACCTCCGCTAAGGTCACAGATCACGATCACGTAATTACAACATAGGGTAGGTGTGTATGATAAAATTGTAAGGGTTTTTTTTTTAATTTTTAAGATAAAACAAGCACATACCAAACGTGGTCTAAGTTGTTAAATTATTTTTTATATTTTTTTATAAAAAATTAATAAATTATTAAGATAACATGTTTTTTAACTAGACCTAAGAAATTATTTAATAGAAAATAACATATAAGTCTATTTTCTATATCCAATGATGTGTAAATTAAATTATTAATTAATAATTAAAAAAGATATAAGAAAGAATTATTTTAAATCATTAAATTTAAAAAGCAAAATGATATAAGCCCTAAATTTTTTACCAAATAAATGGCCAAATGTCTTATGTTTATCATTTTATTTGTCAACAAAATATTGTTGTAATGATGAATTTTGTAGAATAAAAAAAAAGGTAAATCTTAATTCTTTCAATTGGTCAATTGGTGATTTGTCAATTTTTTCTCTGCCCTTGAATGTTATGTTGTTTTGAGGTAAGAAACATTGTTTTGTTAATCAGAAGACATTATGTTCTAGAGAATATGTTATGCTACTTCAAAATTAGAGAAGATAATTCTAAAAATTTTAATAGCAAAACTTGAACATCTTATTATATAAGTAGAATAAAAAATAATAAAAATTATAAACAAAGACTAATATTTTATTTTGTTATTTTTTTTTAACAGTGACATCTATATAAATTTTATGTCATGACAATTTAAAAAAATCTTACCTAACTTTTATACTTGTTCTCTATTTTTTAGATTTGATAGTGTTGGAATGGAGAATAGTGGATATGAGGATTGTAGCAAAGATATGAAGGAGTTGACCAAAGATAAAACACCATCTCTTGGCATAGAATTTCATTAAGAGGATGTCGCATATCAATTCTACAATGAATATGGAAGGATTATGGGGTTTGACATTAGAAGAGATTACCATAGCAAAAGTAGAGAAGATGGTGTTATGATTAACATGAAGTTTGTTTGTTGTAA